ATAATCCTCAGGAAACTTCTCATACACGTTGTCATCTGTTACCCATCCGAGATTTTTATCCAAATAAAGAAAATAAACAAGCGTAAGTACATCCCGTACTTAACAAGATAACAAGGGGATTCATGAGGCTCAAAAAGGTTGACCCTGGTTTACTGCAGTTAGCACTTTTAGTAAGTCAAGATTTTATTATCAAGTATTATCAAGTTATGCTTAAGCTCCCATTTAAATCCACTTAATCAGATATCAGCATCATTTGGATTATATCATCATAAACCATCATAAATGAACAACAATGAGTAACCAATTATTCTGTGAGTTTTCCGGGCCGCTCATGACTGTGAGCACGGCTGTTATAACAGTTTGTAACCCTCTGCAGAGGTGGTGCACATTCACCGCGAGTCGTGATCCCCATATGTCCGGGTTAATTACTCCCATATCACTGCCAAGGTGAGCGGGCAGGGTACACTATGAAGCCATTTCATACGTTTCTTTAACAAGTTAGGGCCGCTAGGTTTTCTCGGCAGACAGATGTAGGAACCCCCTTTCCTATGGCACATATCCATCGCGGCTATACACATAGGAACAGAGGCAGTCCTATACCCAATGTGGCAAGCCCCTTTTGCGCCATAAAGGTAACCTCTAACAAGTTAGAAAAGGTCCTATTACTGAGCTAAAGTCAGAGCCATATGACTCTCACGGTTGCACTGTCAGTCCCAGCTTTTGCCGACAGATAAGTCCTTATGGAGGACCGGGAACAACATGATCAAAAGTCATTTGCACCTTCGCCCTATGGATCAGTTGTTACAAATCACGTTCTACTTTTAGTTCCATAGAACCATTAACCATTGTATAGATCATATTCAGTTAGAGCACTAGCAATCTACCCATATGCAATTAACCCAAAGGAGTCAAGGGAACAAGTCATCAATGACTAGAATGTCCGTATGGTTACCAAAATTAGACACATGCACATGAGTAAATGATTAAAGTGAATAGGACATCAAGGTAGGCCCATGCTATACTTGCCTTGGTTCACAAACTCTTGCTGGTCCTGCTGGTCGTCGAAGAATTCTTGATCTCCAACGTTCTCCTCACCGTCTGAACGCGACCAACACGGCAACATACAACATTCCAAAGGCATTCATGCAAAGAAAACATTCCTATAATTAGAACAGTACACCAACAGTATAGAAAACAAGATAAAATATTTATGAAAATAATCTACGTCTCGCTACGATCACGTCAACGCGAAGTTCACGAAAAACGGAGATAAAATACGAAAGTTATGATTAAAACGGGATTTCCTATAGCAATATATTTAATTAAATCTAACCATGAAATTAAAAAGTTCTAAACTTGACTAAGAGTGGTTCTAACATGTAGATTATGGAATTACGAAGCTAACGCAATTTGAACGGATCAATTCGGAGCTAAAACGACGATTTTATAATCAAAACAGTTCAAATGACATTTCTGTAAATACTGAAAACGTATTCTAGACTAAAGCAGTGAACTTTACGCTTTCAAAACGAGAATGCGTACTTGGGGAAATGCGCTTTGGACTGCGGGTTCTATTACGCGAAAACAGGAGGGCTCTTTAGCAAATCCACCCGCGAAGGGGTATCGGCCAACCAGGGCCTTTGATCACGCGATGGACGGCTAGAATTATTTCAGAAGAGAGAGAACAAGGGGGGCTGGCCGGAACAGTGTTCCTGGCGGCCAGGCGCCATGGCCGACGGTGAGGACTCGCCGGCGAGCTCGGTTAGGGCTCCACGGGCCACGGAATGCGTATCCGAAGGCACCGGGAAGTTGCGGAGGAGCAGGGGATCTCGACTAGGCCAAAAGGGTGGCCGGAGGGGAAGGTTGAAGCGGCGGGCGCCATGGCCGACGGCCAAGAGCTATCGGCGCTCGCGGCTACGGTGCTAGAAGCCACCAAACTCAATTCAAATGGCATGGGGAGGTAGAGAGGAGCATGGGGAGTCTCACAGTGGGGAAAATCGGGGTCGGAGTCGGCTCGGGGAAGACGAGCGACGCGGACGACGGACGGCGGTCCTCTGGCTTCTCCGTGCGGCGGTTGCGGCCTCCGAGGCGTGAGCGAGGGCGAAAACTAGAGCGGGAGAGGCATCTGGGGCGGCTCGGGCGTGGGTTCCGTTTTGTAGATTTGCTGGGGGGGCGCCCCACGACGCGCTGTGGAGCGGGGCGCGATTTTGGCTTGACCCCTGGCTGCGGATTATGGGAGGAAGGTGGGGAGCCGACAAAGGGCCGGGTGTCGATGGCTAGGCGGCGGCGGTTGCTGAGGCGAGCAGCGTGGCGGTTGAGCCGAGGCGAAAGCCAGCTGTCAAGTTTGGTCAAAGCGATTGAGCTGGGCAGCGTGGTACGCTTTCGGGCAAAATGAGAAGGGGAAAGGGGAAAGCCTTGGGCCGACGACGGTTTTTGGGTGGTCAAGCGAGAGAGAAGCGGGAGGAAGAAGCCGAGTGGGTCAAAAGCAAGGGAAGAAAAGAAAAAGGAAATTTATTTCTTTTCAATTTTTCCAAAGCAGTTCAAAATACAATTTCAACTCAAATCAAAATCCGACTTCAAATCAAGCAATACAAAATATTGTGCAACAGCATGAATGCACACTCATTGTTGTTAACCTTATATTTGGTTTTATTTTTAATAAAATTATTATTTCCTAAATTCAAATTCTCACAAAATGCAGAATTAATCACTTTCTCCTATTTCCAAAAATATGAAAAATTTAGGGTGTTACATGTTTCTTGTCCATCGTTTTAATTGTTGCATTGCCTTTCATGTTCTAGCATTGTGCTTTGCTTATTGTGAAGAGCCGATATGGGGCTAGGGCCACGACCAATACGTGGTCCAAAAATACCTCTTATAGTACATGTAAATTTCTGGCCCAATTAAAAGTGGCCCTAGACATCGGACGTGGTCCAAAATGCCTCTTATATATAGCACATGTAATTTTCTGGCCCAATTCAAAAGTAGCCCTAGACGACGTTGGGGACCAAATTGTTACTCCTGTCTGGCCAAGGCAAAGACATGAGGCAGCAGGCCCGACTCGCGACTCTCATCTCCCTTGGGCTGATCCTGACTCCGCGACCGTGAGTTCACGTGCATGGCAATGCCGGCTCGCCCCGTTCAGACGTTTCGCCTGTTCCTCCCTTCTGGCCGCCCGTTCATTTTGACATTCTATAGCTAGTGCCACATGATGAGTATGAAATAGTCTATGCAACACATTGTTTCATTTTGACATTCTATAGCTATACATGCAAGAGACAAGTTGTACTGAATACTGGGTGTAGACATGATTTTATCTAGATGAAACTCTTTTCACCTCTCTTCATAAATCCCTTTGTCACATAAGAAAAGATTGCATGGGAGAATGAAACCCCCCCATTAAAAATGGCCTAATCGAATGCATAGTGTTTATATCGAAAAAAAACCTGGGAATAAAAAACTCAGACATCTTACACGTAACATGATGCATGACCAGACCCGGCTCTAGGGGGAGGGCAGCCTGTGCGACCGCCGGGAGCCCATGAAGATAGGGGGCCCAAGAGCATATAGATAATTAGTAGATATAATTTCCTATTTCTGCTCAAAAAAAGATATAATTTCCTATTTTGCATAAGCCTTCCAAAGCCTAACAAACATCAGGCCATGATGTACCCTACCTATCCTATTCTACCGCGCAGGCCACGGATCGAGCGAGGAGATAGTGTTTCGTTTTCCACCGGCACCGGAGCTTCCTATTCTAGCTCATTGACGCGAACGCGCTATTCTCGCGAGGAGATGCCGACTCACCCGAGGCTGGTCACCGACTCACCGGCGCACCGCATACCGGCGCCGTGGTGCCGCGACGGCGCGAGCTGCAACTGCATGCAAGGACGGCGAACAGCAGATGTGATCATACTAAGCAACCCCAACACGCCAACCCATGACCGATTAGTATTTTTCAATTTCCAATTTTTTACTTGGATCGCTGAAAGCTAGCGCTAGGGTCATCACCGTATTGAAGCCTATTTTTTCTTATTTCTTTAATTGTTTTGTGTATGCACTTTACCTGTACAGAGGTAGGGTTATAAAGTTCTAATTCAATCTATTTATTTAGATACTTTAGATGTTGCCTACGAAGCATTTGTCGGACGTTCAGAAAAGTAAAATATTGAGAAGAATGTTTTGGACCACATCGATCTCTGTGTTGTTCTTGAAGATTTTGCATCAAGAAATACCTAAAGACGGTTTTTTACAAGGAAGTGAAGCATTATATTTTTATCTGAAGTAATCATAATAGTTATTGTTCTTTTAATTTTGTTGTTGTACTATCATTATCTTTTACAAACTAAATGCTGCAAATTAACTTTTATTATTTGTACTATATATATTAATCTTTATATTAAGAAAATAGATCGACGGGCCCTTATCGCCTTGCTTGCCCAAGAGCCCTTAAAATTGTAGAGCTGGCCCTGTGCATGACCCATACTGAATCTGTCGAAGCTTTAATTTGAAGATCTTCCCATCTGTCCCCTTACAATAATAATTGTGCATTGTTGAGTGACAGCCGGTATGGATGTAGCCGCATGCAACGCAACGTTGCGCACATGGTCGACATAAAAGTGTGGTCCGTGCAACTTCTTCGGAGGATGACGCGTTACCGGCACGGCCGACATAAATCGGACGGCCGGACGGGCGGGCGGCCGCTATCTGTTCATTTCATGAGCGTTGCATGGCATGACTGATATCCAGTCACAGTATAGCGCGGCGTGTCGTTCTCCCTGCGGAGGATCGGAGGGCCTTTATTTTATTCATCAAAAATTCCTGCCCGGCCGGCCGGCACCCGCTGTTAATGGAAGGACCAAGCAATCGTCGCGTGGCTATAAATATACGCACGCAACAAGCAGCGCTAGCTAATGCGTGCGTGCGTGAACACATACATACATATATCTACACCGTGCGCGTACTGCAGCCACTTCACATCTCGGTCTATAGCGTGACAGATGGGCTCGCACTACGACGGTGACAACGGTGGTCGCCGGCGGGAGACGAGGTGGTGCGCGGTGACCGGCGGCCGGGGGTTCATGGCGAGGCACCTGGTGGCCGCCTTGCTTCGCTCCGGCGAGTGGCGCGTCCGGGTCACTGACCTCGCCCCTACTCTCGTCCTCGGCCCCGGAGAGACGGAGGAGATTCTCAGCGATGCTCTCCGTGATGGCTGTGCCGTCTATGCCTCGGTTGATGTCTGCAACCTAGAGCAGCTTACCAAAGGTGATGCATGCATATATATCTTACTAGACAGTTTTTTAATAATAAAAAAGTGCATGCATACAATTTCGAGTTGAAGATACCTTGAGCCTAAGTGCTTGGAAGCATGACTGTATATTTAATTTTCATCCAATGATCCAACCAGTTAAACTAAGCTCGTTTACTAAATAAAACTGAAATACTCCCTCCACCTCAGGAAGGCACCACAATGCATCCTTGCAACAGGTAAAGCTGTAACGTCATCCCCTCGACTGTCTAGAGAAGATTACGTACTCTCATTGTCTGAGTGTGACATAGATGTTTGCAACATTTACACTCGCCTCCTCCTTCTCTACACATTCCTTCTTCACATGTCCCCACTCTCTGCACTTCAAGCATTGTATTGCATCTTCTTCTTCCTATTCCTCTTGGTCTCCACTTTCCTCTTGCACTACCGGAGACCGGCTCTTTGCCGAGTGCCAGGTGGTTTGCCGAGTGTTGTTTTTCGGGCACTCGGCAAAGACGCCTTTGCCGAGTGTTTTTTTTGACACTCGACAAAGAGGCTCTTTGCCGAATGTTTTTTTTGACACTCGGCAAAGAGACTCTTTGCCGAGTGTTTTTTTTTACCTGTCGTGGTAGAAGCAGTCGGTGAAAGTGTTGCCTACAGTTTAAAGAATTACCGACACTTTTGGTGTAGCTAAATAGTATACCTTTCCCGACAGTTTAAACCTACGCCGACAGGTAAGACATACGCCGACAGTTAATACATTTCCCGACATTTTATATGTTGGTGAGACCTTTTCTATAGCATGGTTGGAAAGATGTCCTCTGTGGCAACTAATCTGTTGGCAAAACTATTTAATAGATATTCATATTAATACAATCTAGATAATTTCAGAAATCCACTTAATTATACAGAAAAAAACATCACGTCATCAAATACATTTGATTTTATAGGCAAAACATATTAAATATTTTCAATACATACATCAATGTCTTAACTGCAAATCCATGTACATCTCTCAACACTAATATATCTGAACAAACAAAACAAATACATAGAGACATGAACTTTTGAGTCAACAAAGCATGATCTCACACACGTTAAGAGCCAACCCTTTGTGTCATCAAAGCATGAGCAGCCCACTCTAATTCTACATCCCAGCAACATAGATACAACTGGAATAAATTCAAGAAAAAAGTGAATAAGTTCAGCAATAGGTGTCCTTGTCTTAGCATGCTGTTATGGAAGTCAGAGGCTCCGGCACCCTTATAGTGAAGCACTTGTAACTTGTAAGTCCTGCATAAGCAAAGTATTATTAACTGGGACAAATCAAATCAGGTTGCATATCTCATAATGACATAAATGAAGACCATTAGTAATCTTAAACACTACATAACATACATGATTTTGGATACTTAAAACAATTGTCATCAGTGCTGCATTTATTTATAGCTAACCTATCAACTTCATGGTCATATTCGGGCATTTGAAATAATCAGAATCCTGCCGATCTCGGAGGCAAGATGGTATGGTATACAACACGTACTGTCTTACAGCATTAACCAAAACTCTAAAGTTAAATAACAGAACCGGAAATCTAGAAGGTAGAAAAAAAGATAATGGTGATAGTATATTTCGTACATATATGTCCCGGTTTATCATTAAAATTTGTACATAAATTAACAAGGGCCATATAGTTTCTGCTACAATTTTTTGCAAAGGCCACATAGGTAATAAGAAAGATCAGGAATATGTCATTTTCACACTCAGTTAGAATTTATTAGATTGCTCAGTGGAAACATAAGATAGATCCAAGTAATGATAAAATCAAAGTTCTTAACTCATTGTTGATCTTGAAACACTGAAAAAATTTTATAGAACATTTGGTCTCTCTTTACTGAAATTTTATATAGATCATCAACATCATGTGTTTCTCCTTCAATTGTTCCTAAAATTAAAAATTCCAAACCCATGAGAATCTGTTCCAAGTGTACCAAAAAAAGGGCTACTATGAGCCAACAAAGTCTAACAACTTCACAATGAATCAGTCTGCACCTTTTGATTTGTAAAGCCTGGTTGCCAATGGTTAATTGGAAAAACAAAAGAACTTTCAATTGCACTGAATACCTGGTTGCAGATATGAATCATCCTAACACCCAAACCTGAGAATGCATGCATAGACAATGATCTACAGTGACTGAGTGGCACACATCAAATCTGACAGTGCAAGGGGTCATCCAAACATCTCATTGGCTAATTCTCACCCATTAGTAACTCCAATATTTTGCAGCCATTAGCGAAAGGCAGAGTGGTACCATTTCAGCATGAGCTAACATTCTCAGTAGCACCACATAACCATCAACTAAACACTCTGAGGAGCTAAGCCATAGCCGCACTTTTGGAAGAAAAGAAAGAATAAATAACTAAAAGTCACAGGCAAAGACAATTTTATTGTGAACAGCATACCACAATGTAACACATCTGTAGATATGGCATATATAATATGAGCTTCTCAAACCTACAATTTTCCCTACTATTTGTCTTTTGCTACAATGTGATCTATGAACTAATCAGGACTAGAAAATAGCAGTGGAGTCATTGATGACAACATCACTTCCATGATGGAATGCACACCAAAACTGCTATCAGGATTAGTCGAAAACATCACAATACACATCAGCAGGCTAAAGAATGTAACTTTCACCAGGAGGATAAATTAAGATACTACATTTCAGAACCTGTCACAGATAAAACAAGAACCTGTATAGAGATAATACAAGTAGCTTTCACTGGCAAAACTACTGAGACTCGAGTTCACGGAACAGTTGACAGAATCATGTCAAACAGCCACAGCCAAACCAATGATTTAAAAAATAATGGCTAAAGATTGTTTTGTAAGGGAAGCTAACATATATAAAAAATCCTAGTGGTAAATTTCTGAAGCTGCTCAGATGTTTTTTCCCCTGAGATCTTTACTCAATGATAGCCATAGCAATGACCACCCACACCTGATTCCCATCTAGCATTAACGTAAAACTGAAATATATAGGATAAATTAAGATAGTACATTTCAGAACATGCTTCACACATGAAAAGTGCAGCAGCAACCATTAGCCTTAATGGCCTTAACATATTATTTCACAAAGTTTATCTACTCCACGTATGGCTGAAATTATTTGAGATCAGCATCTATAAAAAAATAAATAGACATGGATAAGCATTAGTTGTTTTATTGCGGACATGACTATGGCCATTACCTGTTTTGTTGCAGACATGAAGACTATGGCTTATAGTACCTAGCAGCAACCATGGTTTTTTTCCTTATCATCTCTTTCATAGAGTTCAAATCATATTGCTGAGACAAAAAGGAATAAAGGCAGTAATTTCTTAGTGGACTTAGACATTCCACTTGAACTGAAAACTGAGACGAAAATTGAATACCTTTGGTGGTATAAATGTTGGAAGTTTATGTTCTTTCTTTTGCTTAAGAAGCTTTTCACATAGCTTTTCATGTCTACCAGTTTCTTTGACCCACTGCAGTACAAGGGAAACAATGGTACGCTACTTAGACTATGTCTGCAAAGTATTTTCAGAAACAATGCTGAAAAAAGAGCCCCCTTCCACGCTGATAGAAATTTGGAAACTATATTTTATAAAACCTCTAGTTTGATTAGAATTTTAGGTTATGCTGATGGATAGAAGTCAATTCCAAAATCATTGGGCAAGAAAAAACAAAGGCTAAGCGCACTTACGGTGAAGCCATTTGTTAAATTTTCTGTTTTTTCCATGTGCGTTATCAGCTTTCTCGAGAGCACAGGCAGTAGCAGGATCCTCTATGACATATATACCTCCTTGGAAAGAGGGATCTGTTCAGATCCAGGGATATTGTAAATCCTATAATCGGGTGAAAGGGGCCGAATCGAGGAGAGTGCAGCCTCTAGGAGCAGGGGGGCCTCTTACCTGGAACAAAGGAGAGCACCCGGAGTGGAGCCCAGCGCACAAGCAGCGGCGGGAGGATTTGGTGCCAGCCGCTGGAACTCCAAACCCTAACGAATCCTGCGCGCATATCCGGAGTTGCAACCGATGGGGAGCGAGGATGGGCCACATCTTGCATCGATGCGGAACTACAGGCGATGGGGGATCTGTGTCGGGCGTCGACGGAATGCACTGGCAGTGACCGGGGCAGGATGACGAAGGCGGAGGGCGGGAGCACGGGATTGGAATCCGGTGGCGCGAGGCGTGCGGAGTTCGGTGGGTGGCGATGCAGCGGGGCTCGACGCTGAGGTTGCACGGGTGGCGGCCGGGGCTAGGCATCGGGGATGTGCGAGCGAGTCTGGGGAATGCATGCACGGCCGCAGGGTTGCTGCTACGACGGACGGGCGGCGGCGTTGATCATCTGATTAGTGATTCTTTTTCTTTTCTTTTTTATTTATTTCTTTAGGTGGAACTTGGGAAGGGAGAGATAAGGTGTGGCACAGAGTCAAATTTTCATCGCCGCCCTTTCCAAAGACCATGCGCGCCAGGCCAATATTTTCCTTCCTGCGTCTCCTTGTTTCAGCGAGAAGCGTTTTTTCTGCTCCATGTCATGGCGCCATGTGCTCTGGGTGCAGGCTGGACTCGTACTCATACCCTTGGCCGACAGATGACCAGTAGCTAGGCTATGGCTACGCCGACAGGTAGTCTGTCTACTGAGTTTGGAAGACAGTTTATCAATCATCAGAGAAACGCCGACAGATAATTTGTAGTCTTACTGTATGATTGCCGACATATGAGATGACACCAAAAGATAGTTCTTTTGCCAACAGATAAAGTGTCTGCGGTACTAACCCTTTACCAACAGATAATAGTGGGGAAAAGTGTGTCATGGTGTAGTGAACTTTACCACCTCAAATCTGGTACCTATTGGCGCTATCGTACCAACCGATCGAGCTCTTGATGACCTCACCGCCTGCCTTGTCGACCAACTCATAGAGATTGGCCTTCTTTGAGATTTTCACTTTGAGCACGCATGGTCACCATCGAGCTGAGCTTGCTAGCTCTTACCCGCAATGCCATCATCTAAGCCAAACCATCTAGCTCTCACTACCAATTTTTTTTGGCTAGTCTAGCTTTCTAGTTTTTCTCAGCCTTGTGGTGCACTAAACCAGTCTCTCTTGCTCCTGGATTTATTTTACCAAGTGAGCAATGTCAAAATAAACTTGAGTTGTGCCTTAATTAGCTTTGAAGGAAGTACTCCGTAAGACCCTTGGTCTCCACAACTCTTTTGTCGTGTTGCGCAATTGCTTGTGCCAAGTACTGTGTCCTGAGCACCAAAGCCTTTCATGAATTTTAATTGTCTATCTACCTCATGCATGCATGCAAACTAGGGATGAAAGCGGTACGGATATTTTCCAACCGAATCCGTTTAGAAAGGTTTAGATCTGTTCATATTCGAGTTTAGATATTCAACATCCGATATCGTATCCGTATCCGAATACTCAAATCATATATTTATGATGTCGATATCCAATCGTATTCTATCCGACATGGTTGACACTATCCGTATTCGAATCCGAATCCAGGCAAAAATATGAAAACAAATATAATATCAGTGATATCGGTCCGTATCCGATGTGTTTTCATCCCTAATGCAAACCATTGAATTTGGAGTACTCTAGCACCACGTGGTAGCTAGCCTTCACACCTTGTCCGGTTCCTCGTGAATTAAAGACTAAAGTAAGCATGCATCCTCTGCATACTAGCTGCTGCCCTACACGCTTAGCAATTGAATCCTTGCTCTAATTTTTTGTTTCACATACACGTCTAAGTGCTGTCCTGCACACCGCAGCACGCCTGGTTGCACTGCATTAGCACAGCACGCCAGGACCAACACACTAGGACCTGCAGCGCAGCCTTGCTTGCTCCTCAGTCCTCAGTTCCTACACGTCAAGTCTTCTCCGAGGCCATTCCTTTAGGGCCTAGTTTAGATTGCATCCAAATTCTAAGTTTTTTCATTCTCTCTCTATTACATTAATTTTTGGACACATGTATGGAGTATTAAATATAGGTAAAAAAAATAACTAATTATACAGTTTGGTTGTAAATCACGAGACGGATCTTTTGAACCTAGTTAGTCCATGATCGGACAAAGTTTGTCAAATACAAACGAAACATGCTACACGTGCCCATGTTGCAAAAATTTGCAATCTAAACGAGGCCAACGTGTGTATGCTATCGCAAGAGCCCCACCGTGTGCGCTCAACCTGCACATGCAGGTCCTGCTGCGTAAGTTACGCCCCGACACACACCTCATGTGCATGAGACGTGCTACACCATGGAAATCCGCATCGTCGACACCCTTTGTTCGTCATGTCATGATGCAGGCCTTGTGAAACAGCCGGTCGCAGAACCACCATTGTGAGCCAAAGCTGACGTCATAGTCCGTGTCGCCTTCACCGGACACTGTGTTGGTCCGACCACCACGTCTAGTCAATCCTCACCAACTTCAGCTTATCGGACAGTCCAGGCTACCTATCCACAGTGTCCAACACCGCCGGTTGGATCGCTGATCAGATCACCACCATGATCAGCTTCACAGCACCCATCGAGCATCACCCTCGAGCCTCTATATCTTTTCTCTCCCCTCCTAAGGTCCTCAAAATAAGGATACAACAATGATATACCATACCGACGGCTAACACAAAAGCAATTACTTAGATCTATCTAAATGATTATAGGAGATCAAACACAGCATATAGAAGACTCAATATTTGACAACGAGGTTCAAGGAAAAATATATTGCTGAAATATGCTTACAAATGCTTGTCCCTGAAACCGTGACACTGGCCGACTGAGACGCCAGCCAAAACCGAGAGAACCCCGAAATTAATTTACTGAAGGTACTAGCTAATTTGCTCAGGTCTTGTTTGATATGCCCACGCATGTTCGTGGGCAAGGTGCGAGGGTCAGCCACGAAACCGCAGGGTGCCAGGCGCCTCCTGCTGTAGTACTAAAATAGATCTAAAATTTTCGAGTTTAAATTTTTTTCATTTAAATTCACTTACGGTCTCAAATATACATTACAATTTTAGTTCAAGTGGATACAAAAGGATTGCATGAACCACTTGATTACAAGCTAACTTTGAGGTGGAGTGGTAAGCAAGAATCATGTGACGTTTGAGGTTATGAGTTTGATCACCTACGGTGGGATTAAAAACTGTTTTTTTCTGCAATTTTTTGGGTCGTTCTGTAAAATGATTTCTAGAGATGGCTAGATTTTGGTCCATCCCAAAAAATGGATTTTTAGTGGTGGCTAGATTTCAGCCTAACTCTAGATATCTTAGAAATGAATTTCTAGCGGCAGATAGGTTTCAGCCTAACTCTAGAAATATGTTTCTAGAGGCAGTTGGATAGACGCCTCTATAAATCTTTGATTTCTTGAGACACACGCTCGTTTAAGTTTAACCAAATTTATAGTAAATAGTATTATCATTTATGTCTCCAAATAAATTTATTATGAAAATATATTCTATAACTAATCTAATGATACTTATTTCGTATCGAATTTTATTACTTTTTATATAACTTTAGTCAAAGTTCAAACTGATTGGCTCCTCGAAAAGCGATAATTGCAATGAGATCCCCATTTCTATGTGTTCTCTGATATGCAACACTATTGCATTTGCGTAAGCTCTCTTAATATATAATTGCTTTTTTTTATATGTTCAGCCTTCGAAGGGGTAGATGTTGTTTTCCACACAGCCGCTGCGGATTTTAGCAAGAACAACTTGCAACTTCACTACAAGGTCAACGTGATCGGTGAGTATTACAAGAATATATAATCCTACCAAGGACAGTAGGGCACTATGCGTGCCTTCACACTAAAATGACAAATTAAAGCTATTGCATACCTACGTACCCTACCACACTATAATCCTTGCTCTAATATGTGGTGGTACTAGCTCTGTTCCGTCCAAAGCACATTGTGTTTCACAAAGTTGTTTTTTATTATTCGTTTTTGTCGCTGGAGTTTTTTTAAAAAAAAAGATACATAAATAGGTTTCCTTCTTCTTGTATATGTTTGTTTAGCTAAAATCCATCCATCATTAAGATATACACGACCAACCAATCCGCAAGAATAAATATGTTATCATTCACAGAAGTATAGCATTAAGGAGAGCTAATTAAATGTACTAATTATCTATTTACTGATATGCTATAATAACACAGGAACGAAGAATGTAATTGATGCTTGCAAGATATGCAAGGTGAAAAGGCTTATACACACCAGTTCTAGTGCTGTTGTGTTTGACGGCGTTCATGGACTTTTTGATGTAAATGAGTCATTGCCGTACCCAGATAAGGTTACACCATAAGATTTTCTGAAAAAGCATTATATACATATTATGATATCTTAGATACCAATAATCAGTCACGCACTTAATGTTTTATACTACCTACGCTTCATCATTTGTCTTGTGCTAGCTATGATTATTCACAAGACGAGAAAGTTACCATTATTTGATGGAGAGGTTTAATTTTGGCATGTTGCCTGTATCATTTCACTTAGAATATTTTCTGTTCACACAAATTAATAAAGTATTTGTAAAGGCGTGTATACATTTTTTACCACACACTATTTTGTTGGCAGTTTCCTGATGCATATGCACAAACAAAGGCAGAAGCAGAGAAGTTAGTCATCAAGGCCAATGGTATTAATGACCTTCTAACGTGTTGCTTACGTCCTGGTGGCATATTTGGCCCAGGTGACATTGTGATACCAACTTTGGATCGTTATGGATGGACACATGTAAGGGACTCTATGCTATGGTTAATATTATAGAACTAACAAGAAAAAATTAAATTATACAAACATTTTGGATCCTAAACAAATAATAGCTATATTTAGTATTGGACATTGACACTACCGTGTGATGCCTCTGCAACATTGCATGAGTTACATAAAATTAATGGCAAAACCGAGATAGGAGAGGACAGAGGGACGCTCATTTTTTGGAGAGGAACGGGCATGCATGATGAGCAAGCAAGCCCTAAATCCTCTTTCTTGTTCTCCCCTGTGCTGCTTCTTTTCTCCTTTGCCTAAATAGAAAGAGGCGGCGGCCGGGCTGGGCAAGCCTCAGTCATGGGAGAGAGAGGGGTAAAAGGAAAAGAGAGAAGAAAAACAGGAAAAAAACCCGACTAGATCATGGCTCATAATGCAGCAGATTACTCTAGCACATCTTTTTCCTTCCTTAGACCCTATGACAAAGCTTAATTTCGTGATCTAAAATTAAAACAATATAATGTGTATGAGTATTCAAACAAAATACATTCCATGTGAGCTCTATGTATCCATAATATGCGATCATCCATCTAAAAGACAATAAAAAAGACAACTTTTGGCCTTCTTCTAATGTATCTTGTCAATCACAAATAAATTATTTAATCCATATTAAAACCATATTTATTATTTATGTATTCCTATGTGTTATAGCTAATTTGCAAAAGAATTGCTATAAATAAACTCTTTGTGGAACCGAGACAGAACAAAATATAACAACAATTTTCCTACAAACATGGCCCAAATCGCTACAAAAAACACTTTGGAGTTAAGTTTATCTTTTATTTCTCTTGCTGAAATGATGCCTAAATTTCCATGTATAGTGTTAATAATTTCTAGGCTATAGCGATACTTTTGAAACCGGACCAATAATAGTACTGCCTAATAATAAAAAATTAAAAAAATTAATTCAAAATTGTCAAAGCTATCAATGGCATCATTAAGTTTGTTTAACTAATCTAGAACCAATGAAAGAACTAACATATAAAAAGGTTTAGGATTGATCAATATTTCAAAAAACAATCTAACTAGCAGAATATGCTGCAGGTTACCATTGGTGATGGAAAGAATTGTGATGATTTTGTGTATGTTGAAAATGTTGTACATGGTCATCTCTGTGCTTATAAGACCCTTTCTACTATTGAGGGCGCAAGAACCAGTGGAGGAAAAGTATGTTCTTACTATTGAATTGAAACACATATTACATCTATAAGTTATTATATTATGACATATTTGAACTTTTAGGCATACTTTATAACTAATATGGAGCCAATGAATATGTGGGACTTCACATATCTTGTTCAAGAAGAACTTGGATACAAAAGGTGTTCATTCTATGGATATATGCTTACATCAGTAAAGCACTCTTATTTCATAGTACAGTTTACAAAATAGCTATTCAATGTGCACCTAGATTCATTTCATCCATTTTTGTTTGTCCCATTTTACAGTAAATTTCATATATATTGCATTGGACGCCTAAGTCAAGTTGTAATCCACGTGGAAAATTGTAGTTTTTTTATAGTAATTTTGATAGTCCATAGGATGTAGAACATTACATATAATAGTACTATTTCACACCTATGGAAACCAAATTACTTATTTCATGCCTTGGTTTACAATATTGGCATTTGAACTTAATTCATTTCATATTTGAATGATTGTTGTATGTTAATAACTGATATTTTTACTTCCCTGCAAAAAAATGGAGATACATACCTATATATTACAACAATTTTATGGTTCCCCAATGATAATATATACTTATGTCTCTAAAGTATTATCCATGCTTCTAGTTTGTGTATTTATGGTGCAACACTTTTGTTCATTTATACTGTAATTTTTTTACTTCTTTTTCATTATTTCTTCATTAGAACTCTTGATTTTCTGTAAGTGTACATCATAAATATAATGTAGAGAAGGGGTTTAATTTGGAACTATTTTCTCCATTTATAATTTTCACTAAATAATAAATTTTCTTTTCAGCTTTTCCATTATTATTATGATACATATAATAGCTTATCTTGGGCCTGATACATATTTTATTTTGTTTAATTTGAATATAAATTTGCATACTTAGTAGAAATGATACAAACAATTCGCATTGCTAATATATATGTTGAATATTTTTTCAGAGTATCCAAGATAAGGATACCTACAATTGTTATCAAGCCAGCAAGCTATTTGATAGAGTGGGTGTCGATGCGGGACCCACAGGATACCCCGCAAGAGAGAGAAGATCTAGTTCAACTAGGGTTCTTCCCATGTAATCTTAGTAATAGAACTATTAAGTAATCCTACTAGAAAATCTCATTGTAAACCGATTAGGACTCCGGCCTCCTGAATATATAAAGGAGGCCAGGGCTCCTAAAGAAGGGGACAATTGGTACGACATAACACTTCATAATCAATCCAACGCAAAAGGCAAACGCCGACTGGACGTAGAGTCGTTACTCGATCTACGATCGAGGTCCTGAACCAGGATAAATCGACTGTCTCTTGCGTTCACCATCGAGTTCAGCATACGCCGAAACCCGAACGATACTGCCACGGTACCCCCGTGGTAGGCTATCGGTGGTAAAACATCGACAGCTGGCGCGCCAGGTAGGGGACTTCGGCGACTTTGCATCCGAGAGCTCAATGGACCTCAATAACATGATCTTCCCGACGGGATCGATTTTCATCTTCGGCTCGTGGATCTGCGAGGCAGACAACTACGGCAAGCTTCAAAGTCATCTCCTCAAAGATCCGGATCATCATGAAGAATCCTCTATTTCGGCAACTACGACGGATCAACTCATCAGAAGATTCGTGCAGCTCATAATACCCGATTCGAATAAGATTCCATCCGACTCGAATTCAAGCTCCGTATCCGAGATGAAGTCTTATTCGAGTGCTTTCAAGAAGTCGAGTTCTTGTTTGGCAAGATTCCAGAATACAACACAAAACAACTCGGATTACCCTCAGAGTTTTTTCAAAAGGCCGAGTTCTTTTCCATTTGGGCTGGACAACACGACAAAATCCTATCAGGGACAGTTTGAAAGGTCTTTCAAATCAACACTTGGGATACCACTGACAGGAGCTCAGGAGGGTCTCGTTCTAACGATAACATCGCAAGACTGTATCATCCACTGGCCAGGATCTGTTCCTGAGGATAGCGGAACCCAACTAGTCGGCACAACGACAACATCTATTCTACCTTACCAAGAGGGAGACTCAATCTACGACGTCGAGGCGCACACTGAAGTCATTAGCAACTCCGACAGTATGACAACTAACGACAATAATGGAACAGCTCACGCACGGGAAGTGCTGATGGTTCGACGCCCTCGGTCGCCATTAAACCCCCGTAAGCACCCCGATGTCGTCATCGATGAATCAGAATCCAACATATCACCCTTTTCTCAGAGCTACGATGGAGAAACCGAAAGTCAGAGATAGGCTCGAGAAAGGAAAAACAAGTTGAAACAAGGGCGCCAAAGATCAAGGCCGACAAAGGTAGAGAAGCTCGGACTAGATACGAGTCGAATTGGTGAATACGACAAAAGAAAATCACAACAAGAGGTCAAGGAGACGACAAAGTGAGTACGCCTTACGATAAGATTCGAGAAGCATTAGAAGAACTCGTGGCAACTTCACATCACGGGGAGAAGTACGAACAGCTCCAGGACTTGCTCCGGTCAACGATCCCAAGAACACATGAAGAGAGAACCCGATCAAGAATACCTGCCAGATCAACAACCCATAGGCAAGAAGATCAAAATCAAAGGAAGTCCGCTTTTGAAAGACTTGGACCAAAGCGGAAGCCATAACGGGAAAGCAGGAGGGAACATAGTCGGGGCCATCAATTTGAACAACCAAGGAAGACCAGGAGTAGAGGGCCTACCAGACGACCTCGCAGAATTATTCCCATCAAAACAACACTTGGCCGTAAGAGGGAGCCGAATCTGAATTCAAGGAAGAAGCGGAACGCATGATGATTCCCCTGTTTTGCAAACAAAGTTGGCATCATTCGATTACCTCACAAATTCAAACCGTCTAATCACTCCAAGTATGATGGCAAAACCGAACCAAGACAATGGCTCGAATATATTCATAATCAATTGAACTAGCGGAGGAGACGATGATATTAAAACCTTGTTCTTTCCCCATGGCATCGGAAACGATGCCCTCCAATGGTTTGATAAATTGAACCCAGGATCGATCGAACTTGGGAAGACTTGCAAAAGAGCTTTCTGCGAAAATTTCGCAGTATCATCACACACCCGATCACTCATGCCGAATCGAAAGGACTCAAGCAAAAGGGGGCGAAAGTCTCAGAAATTACTATCGGTGATTCGGTGAATCATGGGCTCAAGTGCATGACATCACCGAACGAGAAGTAATTGAAGCTTTCTCTCATGGAATCATGGCTAGGTGGCAATTTCAAGATTTCGCAAAGAAAATCCGACAAACAATGAAGAATTGAGATTTAACAAGAGAAAAAATGATTACTGCAGAAGAAAAACACGAGAAAGGTTCCGG